ACTATTCCTGCCACTGGCACCAATGATGGGGCACTATTCCTCCCACTGACACCACTGCTGGGGCACTATTCCTTCCTCTGATACCAATGATGGGGCACTATTCCTCCCACTGACGCCATTGATGGGGCACTATTCCTCCCACTGACACCAATGATGGGGCACTATTCCTCCCACTGACACCAATGATGGGGCACTATTCCTCCCACTGACACCAATAGCTCTAGCTCTAACTGCTAGTCATGAGGGCTGAGTAGCAGCCTGAGTGTGATAGCCAGGTGGGTCAGATTGCGGTCAGATCGGAGAGGCTCTGTGGACCAGCTCTCTGAGACTTCCCCTTGCACTAGAACTTTGGAGAAAGTTCTAAAAACAGTGGGTGGAGGTGGAGAGTGGCTAGTCTGTACTCTTGGAGGATCCTGGCCAATCCCCAACAGGAGGCTTGGCAAGGGGTCAGGACAGCCTTTAAGAGTAACTGAGCCTGCTCAGCAGGGAGGTGGAGGAGGGTTCGAGGAAAGGAGTCTGGAGAGCAGGAACCTGGGCCCAGGCGGGAGAAGGGCTCACCTCCAGGCAGGATACTTGGAAGTAGGAAAGCTTGGGACTTCACTGGCTCCCAGAGAGAGGACCACCTTTGTGGCAAAAAAGAAGGGACCCAGCTAGAAGACTAGAAGTGGCATTACAGTTTAGGCAATACAGTTTGGTCACTTCCCCACCTCTGCCTTTGACTGGACAGACCAGGAGGCTCACTGAGGAGGTCAACCCTCTATCCAGAGTGAAGTCCGAACTGATTTGCATAATCGTTGCAGATTTGTGGCTTAGAAAGTGCAGACCAAAGCTATTGAATCAATATGGCAGAAGAAGTATTTCCAGAAGGGTAGGTCATCAGAGTTGGCTTACTCATCAGAGGTCATCAGAGTTGGATCTCCCCTTTCAGTATAGGAGAGGAGCCCATGCCACTGTGCAAGACTGAATGAAGGTCTTTATCTGCTCTCCAAAAATGCTCATAAATTACCTCCAGTTTGAAGACAACTTGCTATAGACAGCTAGGAGAAAAAGTCCAGCCTCCTAAAGAGGAACAGCTGGGTCTTCCCATCATGCTTCTGGACTAAGCCAACAAGAACACCCAGTATCACCGTGCCTACATGGCTGTCTTTCATGAACGTGGTGAAGACCTTTATGCCGGTCCAGCGAAAGAAAGCAAATAAGAGCCGGGCGAAGGTCTTTCCAAACAGAGAGGACTGGTATTTGGCCACCAACTTGTTTAGTCCTTGGCTCGGCTGAGACTCGTGGGTGGAACATGTTCACATTTCGAGGCACGTCCATTATTCATGGAATGGGTGCCAATGTTCCTGGAAAGGTAGGCCGCTTGACTGTTTAGTCTGTAGAGGTAGAATTCAGTTGACTCTCTTTGGTTTTTCTACTCCTCTGGCAGAGAGTTCGCTTTGTAAACGTATTCCGCTGACATTTCAGTAGCTGTGTATACAACCTCCCCCAACTTATTGCTGGCAGGTTACAAGACTTGAGGTTCAGAGCTAAACTAGTAGGCAAGAGTCCCTCACTGTTCACTGTGTTGTCTGAGGAAGCCGACCATTAAAGGGATGCTGTCCCCCAGACTGTTCATTTCATCAGCCATCTTCCCATAAGATCATAAGTGCATTCATTGTATTTTATGGGTTTATTTTCTGTAAAATCCTACCTTGTGTAGACACCCAAAAGCCCCAAGACTGCTCCGTGTTGGGTGCCGCCATCTTGGATGTTAGCAGGCCCAGGTCTCTCTATAGCAGTGGTTTACAACTTCAGTCCTCAACTACCTTCTCAAAGGGAGTTAGTTCCAGTTTAACAACCCAACCCCTTCAGAATTTGAAACACTTTTATGGTTAGCCCCAGCCCCCACCCCCCACCACTGCCATTCCTGGCCTAGGCCAGAATCACGTGTGTCTGGTCCTGCAGCTTCCACAGATACATCACATCTCCCAGGAGGCTACAGGATCAGCACACAGAGTGGCCAGATGGCGGTCCAGAGGGTGGGCCAGGGACTAGTAGTGTATTTTGTGCCCTAGGCGACACAAAATTCGCCCCCCCCCCCGCAGAGAGAGCCTTCCACTACCACTGCCCCCCAACACCAGCCACCTGACATCCTCAGGAAAGAGAGTTGGGCTGTGCATACACCATCATGAAACCCGCAGCCTTGCTCAGAACCCAACAGATCCCCATGCTGCATGTGTCTCTTCTTCCTTCCCTTCTTCTGAGGGGCAGTACTGCCCCCCCTGAAAAAATGCCACCCTAGGCAAATGCCTTGTTTGCCTTTTGGTAAATACACCCCTGCCAGGGACATGTCAGTGGAGCTGGAAACCTACACCAGAAAGAGGACCAAGATAGCAGCGTGGGACCTACTGTGTGGCACCCGAACAGTAGATCGTAACGGGACAACGCTGAATTTTCTCTGTGGGTGGTGAGTATGTGATTTGAAGAGCACTACAGGTAAGTGGACAAAAACCACGGTGGGGGTAGGGGGAGTTTATTTCCACTTTAAGAACTGAGGTTTGGAACCACCGCTCTATAGTCTTCCCCTTTGCTCCTCCTCTGGCAGCTACATAAAAGGTTATGGAGATGAGGGTAAAGGGAGGGGTGAAGGACCTGGGCCAGCACAGACAATAGTTAGACACCCCCAGAAGAATATGTCTTGCAAAGATGGAGGGGGCTGTGCTAGGGAAATCTCTAGAAAGGAAACACAACTGCCATTTTTTTGCCTAGAAAGTACTTATTTACCTTGTTGTATCCTTTGTTGCACCTTGGTGCTCCCAGTCTCCTTTTTTAGCTACTTCTTGTCTCCACGCACTTGCTCCAGCGCCAGCTGATCATCATTTTTATATATTGTTTTATTTTTTACAATATAAAGGAAAATGGACAAAAAAGTGTTTGCTTCTGGACTAAGCCATGTTCATTTCATTTCTTTACCGTTAGAAAATTATGACATCATCATTGGTGGTGAGTGGCACTTCAATCCCCGCCCCTTCCCCGCAATTATTGGTGGTCGGTGGCACTTTAGTTTCCTCAATTTCACCTTTGATCCTCCTTCCTGCTGTGTGTGTATTTAGCTTATCCACAGTGGAGGAAGTGCAGCTCCTTTTGTTGTGAATGGACTGAATATTTGTAAGCACTACTTGATGGCTGTGATTGGTTCACAGTGATCACAAGGTACAGTTTCTGATTGGCTCTGTACCTTGCGAATATGCCCTTTTTTTGGGCAACACTGGCCGTACAAGTGTGTTTTCTGAGGAGCTGTTTAAGTCCACCTCCCCGCAGTGTTTATGATACGGCATTGCAGAGGTGGTTCCCACTGATCACAAGGTGCAGAACCCACTCTGATTGGCTCTGTACCTTGCGAGAATGCCATTTTTTAAGGTTCACTGGCCGCCTAAGCGTGCTTTGTAAAGTGCTGTTTAAGTCCACCTCACCGCAGTGTTTATGATTCGGCAGTGCAGAGGTGGTTCACGCTGACCACAAGGTACAGAGCCCACTCTGATTGGCTCTGTACCTTGCAAGAATGCCCTTTTTAGGTGGACTGGCCGTACAAGTTTGCTTTCTGAAGTGCTGTCTAAGTCCACCTCCCCACAGTGTTTATGATACGGCAGTACAGAGGTGGTTCACAGTGATCACAAGGTACAGAGCCCACTCTAATTGGCTCTGTACCTTGCGAGAATGGCATTTTTAGGTTCGCTGGCCGTACAAGTGTGTGTTTTCTGAAGTGCTGTTAAGCCCACCCCCCGCAGTGTTCATGATCCGGCAGTGCAGAGGTGGTTACACTGTCCATTAATGGCTCATCGAGCCCCAACACCGTCCTTCATGTTGTATGACCGTAACATGGACATCTGAGTCCTGACAGAGGCTGGAAAATACTCGAAATAACAATCCACTTCCTGTATTAATTCTGAAACGTTCCGAGGTCCATCTCCGTATTTGCTGAACTAATGGAATTATTTGAAACTCAGCTGCAGGCCCGAAGGAAAAAAAAAAAGAAAGTGTTGACTTTGAAACCTGGATCCCGGTAGCATCTGTCTTTGTGGAACGCTCAAGCAGGAGGGTGATCCAGATCCATGCGTGTCATGGTTGGGGTGACAGATTGGGATTGGATGGATCGGGATCAGATCATCTTTGCACATCCCCCACTAACTGCAAGGCCGACCTCACCTTCCACCCTTCAGGTCAGGGCGGGATAGAACGGAAAAAAAAAATGTGTTTTTTTTCGGATCGATTCGTGTCCGGACTGGAAGGGGGGGGATGTGTCCGGACTGGAAGGGGGGGATGTGTCCGGACTGGAAGGGGGGGAAAGTGTCCGGACTGGAAGGGGGTGAAAGTGTCCGGACTGGAAGGGGGTGAAAGTGTCCGGACTGGAAGGGGGGGAAAGCGTCCGGACTGGAAGGGGGTGAAAGTGTCTGGACTGGAAGGGGGGGAAAGTGTCCGGACTGGAAGGGGGGAAAGTGTCCGGACTGGAAGGGGGGGAAAGCGTCCGGACTGGAAGGGGGTGAAAGTGTCCGGACTGGAAGGGGGTGAAAGTGTCTGGACTGGAAGGGGGTGAAAGTGTCCGGACTGGAAGGGGGGGAAAGCGTCCGGACTGGAAGGGGGTGAAAGTGTCCGGACTGGAAGGGGGTGAAAGTGTCTGGACTGGAAGGGGGTGAAAGTGTCCGGACTTGAAGGGGGGGAAAGTGTCCGGACTGGAAGGGGGGGAAAGTGTCCGAAAACCGGTAGGGGGTGAAAGTGTCCGAACCGGTAGGGGGGAAAGTCTCCGGACTGGAAGGGGGGTGAAAGTGTCCGGACTGGAAGGGGGTGAAAGTGTCCGAACCGGTAGGGGGTGAAAGTGTCCGGACTGGAAGGGGGGAAAGTGTCCGGACTGGAAGGGGGGTGAAAGTGTCCGGACTGGAAGGGGGGGAAAGTGTCCGGACTGGAAGGGGGTGAAAGCGTCCGGACTGGAAGGGGGGGAAAGTGTCCGGACTGGAAGGGGGTGAAAGTGTCCGGACTGGAAGGGGGGGAAAGTGTCCGGACTGGAAGGGGGGGAAAGTGTCCGGACTGGAAGGGGGGTGAAAGTGTCCGGACTGGAAGGGGTGAAAGTGTCCGGACTGGAAGGGGGGGGGAAAGTGTCCGGACTGGAAGAGGGTGAAAGTGTCCGGACTGGAAGGGGGAGAAAGTGTCTGGACTGGAAGGGGGTGAAAGTGTCCGGACTGGAAGGGGGTGAAAGTGTCCGGACTGGAAGGGGGTGAAAGTGTCCAGTCTGGAAGGGGGTGAAAGTGTCCGGACTGGAAGGGGGGGAAAGTGTCCGGACTGGAAGGGGGTGAAAGTGTCCGGACATGAAGTGGTTAATTCTGTAATGGGGGAAGGGCGTCCGTTTAACACTTTAACTTGCCCAGCAAAGCATAAAAAACGCAAACTTTTTTTTTCCCCCAAAAGAGGAAATGATTTTAATTCCTTTCCTCACGCTAAGACAAAACATTGGTCCAGACAGGGAGAGGATTACCTTACAGCCCAGCGGAGTTGCGATATTACGGAAGCGTTTTGGCAGAGGTGCGGATTGGCGCGGGGCGCGCACGCACTCAGAGGTCACCGCCGCCTCTGTCATAACACATAGACATCCGTCTTGATCTGCGGCTACCGAGTGTAACAACAGATTTCAGCAGCCAATTCAGCTCCCGGAACTCATTCACCCTTCGCACACCCCGGGGCTTTTCTATGGCACATTAGCAGATCTCTCCTGTCAGGACGACTGTGCTAAATGGCATTGACTTCACATTAGCCCGACATTTGCAACGATCAGATTTGTACCAAAGCTTAGGGGAAGGGATAATATTCAGGTGACGTTAGTTATACCGATTCCATCGAAGGAGTTTCTTAGAAAGTGGATGGAGAAAAGAATACCCTGAACCCCTTAGGTGTCACTGAGTTTTGGGTCCCCCTATAGTGCTGCACAGCCAGGTTTGGTTTGGAGACCCCTGCTCTAGACCAATGGTCTCCAAACTGCGGCCTGGGGGCCAAATGTGGAACTTTGAGTGCCTTTATCTGGCCCTTGCTGCACTTTTGCTCCCACTGATACAAGGCACTATTTCTCTCAATGACACCAACAATGGGGCAATAATTCATGCACTGACACCAACAGTGGGGCCCTATTCCTCCAACTGACATCATGGATGGGGCCCTAACTCTCCCACTGATACCAATGATGGGACTTCCTCCCATTGACACCAACAATGGGTCACTATGCCTTCCACTGACACCAACGATGGGGCACTATTCCTTCCACTGACACCAATGATGGGGCACTATTCCTCCCACTGACACCAACAATGAGGCGCTATTCCTTCCACTGACACCAACTATGGGGCACTATTCCTGCCACTGATACAAACAATGGATCACTATTCCTTCCACTGACACCAACGATGGGGCACTATTCCTTCCACTGACACCAACGATGGGGCACTATTCCTTCCACTGACACCAACGATGGGGCAATTTTCCTTCTGACACCAACAATGGGGCACTATTCCTCCCACTGACACCAACGATGGGGGCACTATTCCTCCCACTGACACCAACGATGGGGCACTATTCCTCCCATTGACACCAATGATGGGGCACTATTCCTCCCATTGACACAAACGATGGGGCACTATTCCTCCCACTGACACCAACGATGGGGCACTATTCCTCCCACTGACACCAACGATGGGGCACTATTCCTCCCACTGACACCAACGATGGGGCACTATTCCTCCCACTGACACCAACGATGGGGCACTATTCCTCCCACTGACACCAACGATGGGGCACTATTCCTCCCACTGACACCAACGGTGGGGCACTATTCCTCCCACTGACACCAACGATGGGGCACTATTCCTCCCAATGACACCAACGATGGGGCACTATTCCTTCCACTGGCACCAACGATGGGGCACTATTCCTCCCACTGACACCAACGATGGGGCACTATTCCTCCCACTGACACCAACGATGGGGCACTATTCCTCCCACTGACACCAACGATGGGGCACTATTCCTCCCACTGATACCAGTGATGGGGCACTATTCCTCCCACTGATACCAATGATGGGGCACTATTCCTCCCACTGACACCAATGATGGGGCACTATTCCTTCCACTGACACCAATGATGGGGCACTATTCCTCCCACTGACACCAATGATGGGGCACTATTCCTCCCACTGACACCAACGGTGGGGCACTATTCCTCCCACTGACACCAACGATGGGGCACTATTCCTCCCAATGACACCAACGATGGGGCACTATTCCTTCCACTGGCACCAACGATGGGGCACTATTCCTTCCACTGGCACCAAACGATGGGGCACTATTCCTCCCACTGACACCAACGATGGGGCACTATTCCTCCCACTGACACCAACGATGGGGCACTATTCCTCCCACTGATACCAGTGATGGGGCACTATTCCTCCCACTGATACCAATGATGGGGCACTATTCCTCCCACTGACACCAATGATGGGGCACTATTCCTTCCACTGATACTAATGATGGGGCACTAATAATTCCCTTAACACCAAAGATGGGACATTGTTTATGCCCACTGATGCCAGGACATTTCCTACTCCCACTGGCCACGGTCGGCCCTCCCTAAAGTCTGAAGGACAGTAAATTGGCCCTTTATTTAGAAGGTTTGGAGATCCCGGCCCTAGACTAAATGACCATTAACCCTTGCACTGCCGGGCACAGCCATTGACTGCTCTGGGCCACAGTATGCAGCAGCTGTGGATCCTGGGGGGGACATTCGCACTCATTTCTGTGAGTTGCTTAAGAATGCAGCACGTCTGCAACACGATTGTATTGTGAGAAATTTGTAAACCGAAATGCGGCTTCCCGTAGGAATGCATTGAAAACCAATAAATCCATTCCGGAGGTCAGAAAAAAGTTTTAAAAAAGTATCTTATCTGTTCAAAACGTTTTATACAGCGCACTATAAAGGCATAAATACTAGAGATGCACCGAAACATATCGCCATTCTGCCGATACAGGAGACTGTGTGTACTGCAGATGGGGGGGGGGGGGGGGCAGGGGGGCGGAGAAAGAAAGCAGCAGAGGAGCAGTGTATACAGGGACTGGTTTTTTATTTTCATTTTTTTTCTTCACTATAGCTCATAGAATCAGCTGTCACTTTCCCCCCTTTCCTTTTAGTTTCTTTCCCCAGATAAAAGAAACACATTTTCCTTTTAGTTTCTTTCCCAGAGGTAAAAGAAACAAAGTTTCCTTTTAGTTTCTTTCCCAGAGTTAAAAGAAACAAAGTTTCCTTTTAGTTTCTTTCCCAGAGTTAAAAGAAACACATTTTCCTTTTAGTTTCTTTCCCAGAGTTAAAAGAAACAAAGTTTCTTTTTAGTTTCTTTTCCAGAGTTAAAAGAAACAAAGTTTCCTTTTAGTTTCTTTCCCAGAGTTAAAAGAAACAAAGTTTCCTTTTAGTTTCTTTCCCCAGATAAAAGAAACACATTTCCCTTTTAGTTTCTTTCCCAGAGGTAAAAGAAAAAAAGTTTCCTTTTAGTTTCTTTCCCAGAATTAAAAGAAACAAAGTTTCCTTTTAGTTTTTTCCCAGAGTTAAAAGAAACAAAGTTTCCTTTTAGTTTCTTTCCCAGAGTTAAAAGAAACAAAGTTTCCTTTTAGTTTTTTCCCCAGATAAAAGAAACAAAGTTTCTTTTTAGTTTCTTTCCCCGAGTTAAAAGAAACAAATTATCCTTTTAGTTTCTTTACCAGAGTTAAAGAAACACATTTTCTTTTTAGTTTCTTTCCCAGAGTTAAAATAAACACATTTTCCTTTTAGTTTCTTTCCCAGAGTTAAAAGAAACAAAGTTTCCTTTTAGTTTCTTTCCCAGAGTTAAAAGAAACAAAGTTTCCTTTTAGTTTCTTTCCCCAGATAAAAGAAACACATGTTCCTTTTAGTTTCTTTCCCAGGGGTAAAAGAAACAAAGTTTCCTTTTAGTTTCTTTCCCAGAGTTAAAAGAAACAAAGTTTCCTTTTAGTTTTTTCCCAGAGTTAAAAGAAACACATTTTCCTTTTAGTTTCTTTCCCAGAGTTAAAAGAAACAAAGTTTCTTTTTAGTTTCTTTTCCAGAGTTAAAAGAAACACATTTTCCTTTTAGTTTCTTTCCCAGAGTTAAAAGAAACAAAGTTTCCTTTTAGTTTCTTTCCCAGATAAAAGAATCAAAGTTTCCTTTTAGTTTCCTTCCCAGAGTTAAAAGAAACAAAGTTTCCTTTAACCTGGGGAAAGTGACAGCTAATTCTGTGAGCTATAGTGATAATAATAATAATAATAACAAATCCTGAATAATAATAATAATAATAATAATAATAAATCCTGAATAATAATAATAATAATACTAATAATAATAAATCCTGAATAATAATAATAATAATAATAATAATAAATCCTGAATAATAATAATAATAAGTTCAGCTTTAATTTGGGTCTGCTGCACGATTAAAAACAAATGCGGGTTGCGTTCCTCTCTAGAAAGTCAGACGTTGGAGGCGATGTTTTGCTCAACACGTAATTAATGTGAAGCTGAATGATGTATTTTAGAGGTTTTCCCTGCGCGCATGCTGTGGAAATGGTTAATGCTCTATAATATTAGCCTGCGAGGAAACAGTCAGCACAAAATTAATAATGCCTTTATTATGGAACACATGTGTCACACACCTCTGAATGCGTTATTGTACAACGTTACCCCACACCGACCAAAATCATTGTGACACGGAGCTCGCCGCGAGGCTCCGGGACCGTGGCGCAGGATCCATAAATATGCCTTTGTTTAACAGCAAAACCTCCTCGCTGCGCTCCAAAACACTTGTTACCAAAGCTTAGCGCAGCAAAAAAAAAAAAACAAAACAAAAAAAAAAACGCCATAAATATAAAACCTAATCTCCCAAGCCGGGTGCAAAGGGGGGGGAGGAGGAGGGGGTGTGGGGGGAGGGGGGTGGACATATACAAGTTTATTTTCAATGCTCGTAAACTGTAGGAACATATATGGGTCCCAGAAGGAAAATATAGGCTGTCAAAATGGTAAGCTGGTCCTGGACCGAAAAAAAAAAAGGAGATATATGACCGCGGTGCTCGGGGTGGCAGAAAACAATTGTTCCAGAGCCGGTCTCGGAGACTAATTAATTTCCTGGAAATCCCTTTCGCTCCTTCTCAGGCTGTTAAAAAGGCCTGGCCCGGGACGGAGTTAAGAGCACAGTGGCCCGGCTCAAACGTGTTAATGGCGGTGGGCCGGTCTGCTGCGCCCTGCTGGCCGGTAATTCCGTAAGCGTGATTGATAGGATGAAGCCTTGCCGGGGCTCGGCGTGCAGATGTGGAGATCGGCGAGGTTCGTTCAGAAACGCGCCTTACGTCTCACCGCTGCAATGGAAGTTCTTCCATCAGAACTGCGAAGCATTTACGATTCTCTGCCGGTACCGGGCTCAGAGATACGGCACCACGTATTGTACATGCAGCTAGTATGAGTACCTGAATATGTCTCCTCATTGGCTCTGATGTGTCATGTGACATAGCCAGGGGGAGCCCGGGGAGGACTCACCTCTGCAGAAATGTGTGTGAACCCTAAACGCTCTTCCTCGGTATTAAAAACACTGAATTCTGAACAACATACTACTGACCTCTGCACTGTATGCTACTTACCCCTGAACTATGCATTACTGACCCCGGTGCTTTACTCCTGACTCCTGCACTCAGCATGACATACTACTGACCTCTGCACTGTATGCTACTTACCCCTGCACTATGCATTACTGACCCCGGTGCTTTACTCCTGACTCCTGCACTCAGCATGACATACTACTGACCTCTGCACTGTATGCTACTTACCCCTGCACTATGCATTACTGACCCCGGTGCTTTACTCCTGACTCCTGCCCTCTGCATGACATACTACTGACCTCTGCACTGTATGCTACTTACCCCTGCACTATGCATTACTGACCCCGGTGCTTTACTCCTGACTCCTGCACTCTGCATGACATACTACTGACCTCTGCACTGTATGCTACTTACCCCTGAACTATGCATTACTGACCCCGGTGCTTTACTCCCTGACTCCTGCACTCAGCATGACATACTACTGACCTCTGCACTCTATGCTACTTACCCCTGCACTATGCGTTACTGACCCCGGAGCTTTACTTACTTCTGACTCCTGCACTCTGCATGACATACTACTGACCTCTGCACTCTATGCTACTTACCCCTGCACTATGCGTTACTGACCCCGGAGCTTTACTTACTTCTGACTCCTGCACTCTGCATGACATACTACTGACCTCTGCACTCTATGCTACTTACCCCTGCACTATGTGTTACTGACCCCCATGCTTTACTTACTTCTGACTCCTGCACTCTGCATTACATACTACTGACCTCTGCACTCTATGCTACTTACCCCTGCACTATGTGTTACTGACCCCCATGCTTTACTTACTTCTGACTCCTGCACTCTGCATTACATACTACTGACCTCTGCACTCTATGCTACTTACCCCTGCACTATGCGTTACTGACCCCGGAGCTTTACTTACTTCTGACTCCTGCACTCTGCATGACATACTACTGACCTCTGCACTCTATGCTACTTACCCCTGCACTATGTGTTACTGACCCCCATGCTTTACTTACTTCTGACTCCTGCACTCTGCATGACATACTACTGACCTCTGCACTCTCTAATACATACTACTGACCTCTGCACTCTGTAATACATACTACTGACCTCTGCACTTTGCATTATATACTACTAATCTGCGTACTTTGCTATACATACTTGTGACCCCTGCACTCTGTGTTACACCTGACCTCTGCATTCTGTAATACATTCCACTGACCTCTGCTCTTTGCATTATCTGGTAATGATCTGTGTACTCTGCTTTACATACTACTGACCTCTGCACTCTGCGTTACTGACCCCAGTGCTTTATTTCTGACTCCTGCACTCTGCATTACATACTGCTGACCTTTGTACTCTTCACTACTTAATCCTGACACCTGCATGCTGCATTACATACTTCTGACCTCTGCACTCTGTAATACACTAATATCTGGCAATGATCTGTGTACTCTGCTTTACACACTACTGACCTCTGCACTCTGTGTTACTTACTCCTGAAATGTGGACATTTTTACTTACAGCTGGCCTCAGCATGCTGGGTTAATTACTCCTGACTTCTGCTTTACAGACTACTAACCTCTCTGAACTCTGTTTCACTTATTCCTGACCCTGGCGCTCTCCGTTACATACTACTGACTTCTGAACTTTGCATGACTTATTATTGACCTCTTCAATCTACATTACATACTACTGACTTTTGCAGTGTATGTTACTTACTCCTGACCCCATGTCCTCTACATCACATACTACTGACCTTTGCACTCTACATTACAGTGAAGGAAATGCGAATTTGCTCCCCGGCTGATGCTGAATGTTCGCCCCTCACACAGAAATGATCGGTCTAACAATGGAATGTTCGCCTCTCACACAGAAATGATCGGTCTAACAATGGAATGTTCGCCCCTCACACAGAAATGATCGGTCTAACAATGGAATGTTCGCCCCTCACACAGAAATGATCAGTCTAACAATGGAATGTTCGCCCCTCACACAGAAATGATCGGTCTAACAATGGAATGTTCTGTGTAACACTGAGAGACAGAATAC